ATTTAGAATTGAAGTTGTAAAGATGATTGTTCCGCAGTAAAGAGTCTCGAATATGTCGGTTTAAATGTTCAACTATAAAAACACCCTAAATAAGTTTCAATTTAGGATATTTTTATAAGAATAGGAAAATATTTCGCACCTTCTTAATTTATGCATTTTATTTGTGTATATCCTATATATACACATTGCAAACTTGAATTTAACTTGAATTAAATAATTATTCGGATTCTTCAATGAATTATATTGTATTTGGAATTGAAGTTGTAAAGATGATTTTTCTCCGCAGTAAAGAGTCTCGAATAAGTTGGTTTAAATGTTCAACTATAAAAACACCCTAAATAAGTTTCAATTTAGGATATTTTTATAAGAATAGGAAAATATTTCGCACCTTCTTAAATTATGCATTTTATTTGTGTATATCCTATATATGTATACACATTGCAAACTTGAATTTAACTTGAATTAAATTATTAATAAGTATATTCTCGTGCTAATGAGCTTAATTAACTTAGTGTTGAACTGACTAAATACGACAAGATAATTTAAAATTAATAATATAATATATAGTATGATATTTTACTGAAGAAATTGTACCTAATCTAAAAAATATTCTTAAAAATGTTCCTCTCAATTATCACAAAAGCAGAGTAACATTTTACAAAATTGTGCTTAACATGATTTATAATTTTATTAAACTTTAAACGTGTTTGTTTCTATACAACGTTTCAAGCTTATGGAGCTTGTATAGATTTAAGGATATTTTAAAATTACTTTTATTCACATAGTATGTCTTGACTAATCGCCAAATATAGGTAACATTTCAAAGTTAACTCATATTTCTAAGGAATAGTATCATTGTAGATAATATATTCAAAAATTACAATTTTAATTAATTTATAGCAAAATTTAAACACGCAAAGCATTAGCGGGGCTTAAAGTTTAAAATACTGAAAATAATAATAATTATAATAATTTTTCTACTTAAACTCTTTATATAAAAGGCTTTTATAAAACCAAAAAAAAAAACGCTTTAAAATTCCCGATCAGTAAAAATTGTAAATACTTATTATCATCTATCTAAGATGAGCCTAAACATAAGTATCCAATAAATTATAATAGTATCTAGATGAGAAATTTGTGAGCTTTGTGAACTTAGTGTTTTAATGTTAATATATTAAGGACACCGGAAAGTAATGTCGTTTCGAGGTATTAAATATTAGTTAGTCTTAAAAATAAATTCGTTTCTTTTTATCCATTTTGATTAATTTTCAATCCGACATTGAAAGGTTGTTGCTAACGAGGGTGAATACATTATTGAATAAAAATAAAATCTTGATAACAAATATCAAATGCACCGAAGCGACATTACTTTCCGGTCTCACAAATATAATCACTTGTTCCAATTGGTTTCATTCTCATATCTTACAACCATGGATTTAAAGCGAGTACTTAAGTGATTATGTGTTTACAATTAATGTTAACAGAAATATTTAAATTTCGCTAACACTTAATAATTACTCTTATGAATATTAGACTTCATAAGGGTTCGACAATAAATGCAAAAAGAGTTAATCTAAAATTATTTTAAAAAATGTTTCAACGAGGTAGAAGATGCAAAATGTTTTAAGAATTTTCTACCTACCAAAAGATATTCGTAAATTAAAGGACTATTTATCTAAATGTTAAAACTGATAAATTGAATTCCTACAATAAAAGTAATATCAAAGCCTCTAACATTCCAAACAGATTCGTAAAACAGCTGTCTTAACTTTTTTAAACTTTTCTAGTCTGTGGCCACCTATCTATGACAGTTTGATGATAAATAATATTTTTTTATTTATAAGATTATTTCTTTATAGTGCTTTATCATATTATCTGTGATGATTGTTGCTATTGGAGCTCAAAGACTTGTGGTGAGTTTTATTTTATTAAGTTAGTTCGTTTCATAATTAATGACTGTCTTTTTGACAAATTATTTTTACTAAGCTAAACTTTACAGAATAGTTTCTTTAAAATTTAAAAAAAACTAATTTTATATCTGTGTTACTCACATCCATTTTACCTCTTCAATCTATTTGTGTTCGAGTGGGCCCAGTATTCATTAATGGTCCTAAAAAAGACTAGTAAAAAGAATTTTTGTTCTGTATCAAAAAATTGCCAAAAACATTTTTTTTTAAATTATGAAACTTCCCAGAAAATAATGTTTTTTTAATAAAAAAGATTAATTTTTAAATAAAAGACAAGTATAAAAATGAAAAATTGGAAATAAAAAAATAAAGTTTAAACTTTTGTGCTTTGAAACTCATATTTAAGAGAGAAATAAAGAAATAAAAACACATAAACTATTTAGAAAAGTTAAGTTTCATACTTTAAAAAAACTATTTTTCACGGAACACTTAATAAAAGGATGAAATTTTCGCATAAACTTACAAAGGAACAGCGTAAAAGAAACCTCTGTTAAATGCAACTGATAATTGACCTTAATACGTAAAAAAAAAATTCTTTTTGTGATTTTCAACTGCTTTTAATCAGTTAAATCTGTTAATTACACTAATTTATAACCTTTCGTTAAAATGAGAAACATTTAAAAACATGCATATTTGCCAACTTGTAAGGATTTTTCTGTAAGATTTGACTTTAAATTTAAAGTGTTTCAATAGATTAAACTTTTCTTTTAAATTCTCGAACTTACAAATTTAATTAAAAATTTCCCTTATTGCATAAGTAAAATAAATACATATAAACACATATATACATTCTTATAATGGTAAGTTTTTTAAGATCTTAGATAATTCAGTTTCAATTTTGTCGTTGTCATTTCACTACCTTTTTTGGAAATTCACTACCATTTGGGAAAGAGTAAAAGTTGGCAGATATGTATTAACGAGTTACAAATTTAATCCAACTTAACTTAAAAAAGTAGTACAACTTCAACTACATCTATAGTGACTACTTGATCTTTGATGCCTTGAAAATTTTTGCAACAATACGCAACTGTACCAAACAGCAAGCGAGTTTCATGACATAGAATTAAACACGACGATTGCAATGGCGTAAAATGTGTCTATTTCTCTTTGAAAATGCACGGTTCTATGACAAAAATTTCGAACATAAATATTTATATACTTAATATTATTAAACTTTAAATTGTACTTTACTTTCCTGTTTCTAATAATAAATTCGTACTACCACTTTTTTGGTGGGAATGGATAAGAAGCAGTTTTACATAAGTTGAAAGACAAAACGTGAACAATGATAGATTGCAAGTGCATAGTTCTTACAGTCCTTTAAGATTGTAAGTTTGAGACTCTATAAATATTAAAAGTATGAAAAAAATCTTGATCATATCAAAAACTTTTAAGACTAGGTGTTGATCAATTGAAAAAAAAATTATGTCGTTAGCCTTAAATGCTTCAAGGGTTTGTGACTTACCAATTTCATTCCACCATCTAAAAAACAAACTCCTCGTAAGCTAATTCCTTTCTGGGTAAGCAAATGCAACATTTAGTAGTATAAAAAAATGTTTTTACAGGGTTTGTATGCAACTGGAAAAAATGAGTAACTGATATCAATTTCATTAGAAAGGAGCTGAATATTTCTTAATAATATCTTTCACTGCCGAAATAAAATTTCACATTTCACTTCTCCAACTTCCGGATATATAAATATATTTTCAATCCAAACTAGCTGTTCCGGAAAGGGTTAAACAAAATTGCTATTTTCTATTGTTAATTACGCCTATAATTTAGAAGAAGCTAGAACCAAATGAATTCAGATGGCAAATAAGATATTTAGGATTACAATATATTCTGATGTACTCGAAATTCGGAATTTCGAAAAATTATAAGCCGAAATTCATAATCACACAAGTCTGCATATGTAGCTATAAACAAATTTAACATAATTCATTAAGACTTACGTTTACATCAAATTTAAACAATGTGATGCAATCCTGATCTTTCCAATTAAGGGCATGTTCAAAGCATTGGCGCCTAATAGGTTAAAACGGATATTCTAATATCAAAGAACAATGCTAAATTATAAATTACAGGAAACGAAACCAACACTTTCAGAATTTGATATAATATTTCTTTTCTTTTCCAGCAACCAGAACAATATGCACCGATTCCCTACTCTTTTAGCTACGCATCAGATCTCGAAGATGGCGGCAGAAATGCACATCAAGAAGAAGGGGATGGCAATGGACGAGTCTCCGGTTCATACACAGTCCAGGGAGAGGATGGTTTGGGCAGAGTCGTCGATTACATTGCTGATGAAAATGGTTTCAGAGCAACCATCAGAACCAACGAACCAGGAACTGCCAACCAAAATCCAGCTGATGTAGTTATTGAATC